CCTGCTCACTAGCTCATATGCAAAGGTAGGAGAATCGCACTAATCTGCTTCTCTGAACACTCATGGGTAGCGCAGGCACTAAGCCAATGGCACTTCTGGAGTGACAGCAATGGCCGTAGAGTACTGAGAATCTTTCTGGCCTTCTCGGGTACCCATCTGATAGGAAAGACAAGATAGCTTTCAAGAACAGAGTAGACATCCCACCAGACTCACGTCAGATAGGGGCATAGGGATTCAACTAGGTGTAGCAAGGCAAAGCCTGGTGCTGTAGCAGATGGACAACTTAATTGTGAGTAATTTCCTGGGGAGAGGAGGTGCAAGCATTCTCTGACATTACTTTTACAGTCCAGATTCTTGGCTGGAACTGATACAAGGAGCCCTGTAGAAGAGTTGGCTTTGATCACAGACAGGGTGCATGGCCAACTTCAAGAAGGAAGTTTAAAAACATCTAGCAATAACAGTCATTGGGTTGATGCCTCTAGGCATAAGAATGCCTGAAAAGTGTAAAGCTGTGTGCTTGCTGATCTGTGAATCTCAATGGCACCTGGCATTTTCTCAGCTGTTGCTTGGGGCATAATGCTTTATTACTCACTGTCCTCTACTTCTCACTGACTGGCTGATCTGTGAAGTTAACGACACTACCCTTTGCTTTTCAAGGTGTTCATTGAGTGCGTGTATCACAGTGCCACAGCCAACAGGACTAATAGGCAAAAGCAGAGTGAGTCTGTTGGAAAAATCAGCCTTAGTCCTGCTGAGACTAGAGTGCGTGCTACAGGGAGTGTGAAGCTGCCACACTTTGATGCAAGTGTGAGGAAGAGCCTCATGGGCAGAGAAAGATTTGACTCCAGGCTGAGTGCTTCTGAAGCTGTCCCCATGCTGCAGTCTGTGGCAGTTTTAGCAGGGTACACATGCGGTGTTGATTTAGGACCAAGTAGTCGAGAAGCTGTAGCTGCATGAGCTGGGCAAGCCTGCCTGGGATACACTGGTACTTTTTTTGATGGCTGAAGTTTATATTGTTTTTGTTAGCAGACCTAGCTTGGTACAATTGCCAGCGTTACCAGTTGCAAAATAGACACTGCGAGGCTCAGGCACATCGCTGCATAAGCCCTGCATCAAAACTGCTTCCATAAAGAAAAAAAAAAAGTCATTGTTATAGGAGACTCCCTTCTGAAGAGAACAGAAGGCGCAATATGCAGACTGCAAACTTCTTAGGGAAGTTTGATGCTTCCCTGGGGCCTGGGTTAAAGATGTGAAGAGAAAGCTTCCTACCCTGGTATGGCCCTCAGATTATTATCCATTATTGATTTTTCAGGTAGGCAGCGATGAAGTTGCAACAGGAAGTTGAGGGGCAATCAAGAGAGATTTCAGGGCCTTGGGATGACTGATTAAGGGATCAGAGCACTTTGTCAACCAGTCTCCTGAACAGGTCAAAGTCTGCTCTCTGGAAGTCCAAGGTGGCAGTTCTGCTGAGCCTTCTCCTTACTTCTCCAAGAACTGAAAACTCTATCATTTTGTGATCACTATGCCCAAGACAGCCTCCAACCATCACATCACCCACAAGTCCTTCTCTGTTTGCAGACAACAGATACAGCAGTATGCCTTCCCTAGCTGGCTCACTCACTAGCTGTGTCAGGAAGGACAATGAAGCTGGTGAAGGGTCTAGAGCACAAGTCTTATGCGGAGTGGCTGAGGGAACGGGAGTTGTTTAGCTTGGAGAAAAGGAGGTTGAGGGGAGACCTTATCGCTTTATACAACTCCCTGAAAGGAGGTCGTAGCGAGATGGGTGTCAGTCTCTTCTCCCAAGTACCAAGTGATAGGACAAGAGGAAATGGCCTCAAGTTGTGCCAGGGGAGGTTTAGATTGGGTATTAGGAAAAATTTCTTCACTGAAAGGGTTGTCAAGCATTGGACCAGGCAGCCCAGGGAAGTGGTTGAGTCACCATCCCTGGAGATATTTAAAAGAAGTGTAGGTGTGGTGCTTAGGTGTCAGGAACTGCCTGTATCTTCTCACAGTGAATCGCAACCAAATGGTCGTTTCGATTACGATGTATCTCACAATCAGAAGGCTGTTCTAATCTCAATACTATCTCAATCAGAAATCTATCCAATGGAGAGCTCCAAGTCACCGCTCTCTTAAGGGGCTCCTACCTCTCCAGTACCCAGGAGGGAAATGCCCCCTCCCAGGAGGGAGTGCCCCACCTTTAACCACCCATGGGTCACGTGGTTTCTGGCTGACCAACGTGACTCACAGCTCCTGTTTTAACGAAACACAGGTGCTTTCTATTCAACCCATACAGCAGCCAGAAGACTTCTCCGACACTTAGGGACATGGTTTAGTGGTGGACTTGGCAGTGCTAGGTTAATGGTTGGACTTGATGATCTTTAAAGGTATTTTCCAAGCAAAATGATTTTGTGATTCTATGGCTGCTGCAAGGACAGCAGCCAATAGAATCACAACACTGACACTCAGACTGACACTCAGTCAGATGTGAGCTTCCAGAGGATGCAGAGCTGTGGAGTTGTGCAGGCCTCACACTTCCCATTGAAACACTATGCCATTGGCTGTGTAGCCCTTTTGATGACAGTGGGTCTTCCTCTGTCTTGGCTTGATGGAGGTGCAGTCCCATGGTGGAGGTAGGCAGCTGCCTTGTTGTTTTCTTTGGGGGCCCATCATCCAGAGCATTGGCCTAACAAGCTGTCATTCTTCCTAGTGTAGAAGTAGAAAGGATCTGATGAAAACCTGTCAAAACTTTTAGCTGGATGTTCAGTTGTTCAGTGGCTTTGGTGCAGAGTAGGACTGTGGAACTGCCTGATTTCCCAGTGTATTAAGGAACACACAAGGGAAAAACCCACATGCTGATTCTCACAGGGGAAGATCTTCCATTTTCACCTAGTAGTGGCTTCTGGTGATGAAATGGAAAGCCTAGAATCTGTCTGAGCCATTGACTTTGCCGGGAAAAAGAGCAACATACAAAGCCATAGCTTCAGTGAGAAGAGTCAGTGTTTATCAGCCTTGACCCTTTGCCCAGGAATCACAGCCTCTCAGCAGCTACCTGTCAGAGCTTTTGGCCACTGTGTCCTCACTGCAGGATGTTTTCCCTTCTTCCTGCAGGACCTGCCTTGTGTTCACAAGCAGTTTGTCTTCTATCGGTGCCCTTATCTGCTTGCAGTTAGAATTAAACAGACGTTGCAATTAGAGCTTGTAGTGAGAACTAAGTTGGCCTAATGGCACTGTGGATAACTTGTTATCTGTTAGTAAAGCTGTAGTGTGGTTCCAACAATCCTCCCACTTCTGTCGGCCGCGGTTCCCAGAGCGTCAGCAGGGTTAGCTTTCTGTACCTCAGGACACTTGGATCAAACACCTGCTTTACATGACAGTGAGTCTCTTTGTGGGCTGCCTTTGTTGTAAATGCATCTGAAGCCATTCCAATATTGTGCCTTAAGGTTTCATAGCAGTGTCAGTTGATTCAGCATACATGTTATACTCGTGTATATGCTGTGTACAGCCTGTGCTCATCTGCTCCTGGTTTCCAGCATCTGTGCAGACCTTCCTGCATTGTTTCTTTGCATTACGAAATAAGCATCTTTGCTGATGTTCCATGGTTTGTTCTGACTCAGGAGTGAAGCGTTCAAGAACAGTCTTAGGCAACATTTCTTTGGAAATACTTTAAAGCTTGTGTGGGTTTTTAAGAAAGCAGCTATCATATAGAGTGCAGAGTTCCAAAATGGCAGGACTGTCTTTTCATTCAAATTGGGCTTTGCTAGGCCTCTTTGAAATCTACACATTTGATTAATGTGTGTTCAGGGCACTTGAGACTACTTTGTGCCACTTACATAGTGGTAGATAAATTCAATTTGTGCGTGTGTGTGCATGAGGAACCTATTCTTGATAGCAGAGAGTAGGGAGTAAAGTGGTTTTAGACTTTGTCCTGGTTTTTGAATTGTAATAAAATTAAAAACTTTTGTCTGGAGTGCTATGCTACCTGCAGGGCTGAGCACTGATGAGTGGATAATTTTGGATGACTAGTGACCTGCTTTAGGTGTACAGCCACAGCAAGGGATTTGTTTAAAATAGGACTGAAATTCTGCTGTGTGAAATTCTCAAACCATGTCCTGGATAAATCAGGACTCAATCAGGGCCAAGTACCTTTTTTTGCTAATTGTATGTTTGCCTGGATGCAAAGATGTGTCTGAATCTCAGTGGAATACCCAAAAGCATGTTGCTTTTTCCTCCCAAGGCCAGTGTGATTTAGAGGCTGGCTTAGGGCATTAGGGCAAGCATCCAACCTCAGTAGCTTATTCGAGTCCTTTGCAAACTGTAGCATGCTTAATCTTTAGTGTAATACTGCCAAAAAAACCCACAAACTGCTGGAATTTTGCATAGTAGGCACAAACTGTGTACCCTATCCCCTGCTTCCCAAACTTCCCTGCTCCCTTTCTGTGCTTACCATGTGGCAAGCAGCCTTTTCCTCCTACCCCAAAGCCATGGGCAGGCTGTCTGCATGCCCTTTTGCAGTGCTGTGACTCCCAGCTGTGAGAGCAGCCCTCTTTTCCCAAGGCGGTGGAGCCCTGCAGGCTGGCTGGCCTCCTCTGTTCCTGTAGCTCTACAGCAGGTGAGTGGTGTTCAGACCCCAGAGGTGCTTGGGGAGCCCGGTCAGGGCTGCCAGCATGCTTCCATGATGCGTTCTGGTGGAGTTTCTCATGACTAAATGCAGCTTTCCCCTTATTCCTGTCTCTGGCACTACTTCACGCACCCTTTGCACTTTCTGGCTTTCGCTTCCAGGCATCTCTTTGAAGCTTTCCTGATCTCATTCCTCTGCTTTGGGATATTGCTGCTGACCTCTGTAAAACCTTTGCACTTGCAGTTTGTTTAAGAGGCTACTTGAAATGAAACTGTTTTCTGATCTCTTGCTTCCATGCTGCCTGGACTTCTCTTGAACTGCACAGGGGAGATGAACCTCTTTCCCTG